TACTTAAAGAAGACATGACTTTGCAAATAAATATTTTAAAACAACCTATACAAAACATTCCATCACATCTACAAATTTATAATAACATCAATAATATGAATCAGTTGNAAGAGACATTATTTTCTATTGATAATGTTCATATATGTCCTAGCGTAGATAATATAAATAAAATTGAAAATGTTGGATATAGTGAAGCTTTTAAAGATATTAATGGTACATGGAGACATAAAAAATGTTTATTATTTTCATCATCCAATTTAGAAAAATATAAATTTTGTTCCATTGTCAAGAAATCTGTAAACCAAAAATATCGGCGAACAAAACTGATCAAATCATTTAAAAAAATTAAAATATTTGGATCTACTACAGAAAAACAAAAACAACAGAGAATTTTATTATTACGGAAAAAATATTACAAAGCCGAAAGAGCAAAAAAAAAAGAGTTAAATATGTAGCAAATAAATTAAGAGAAGAACTTATGAATAATATGACAAAGACTGAAAACATTTCTATAAAAAATATAGAAGATCAATTAAAAAAAAACAAATTCCTCAACATCAGTTAATTGCAATACAAGAAATAATAAAAACTACAAAACATAAAAATATTAAAGGTCGTAGATACAATGAAGAATGGATTTTATTATGTATGTTAATGCACATGAAATCACCTAAGGCATACAATTTCTTAAGAGATAATCAAATATTACCCATTCCATGTGTTAGAACTATACAAAGGTATAATGTAATTTTGCTTTAAGTTTTTATTATTTTAATTTAATATTTAGTTAGAATTATGTAATTATTACAATGTGTTCAAAAAAGCAATTTTTTAGTCTTTTAATGCGATATAAATTTCTTTAGATATATTTCTCTCATTGATTCTTCATGTGGCTTCGATATGAGATTTTTTGAAATGTTTAAATTAGCGTTGCATAAAAAAAAAGAAATACAAAAACATGGTGTAATTCTGCTAGATGAAATACATCTCAGGGAATCTGTTAATGTAAACTCCAAAAATCTCACATATACAGGGTTGATTGATTTCGGGAGTGAAAATATACGACCAATTAATCTTGATGAAACAGCAGATCATGGTTTAGTGATAATGTTTCAACCACTAGCAGATTTTTATTCTCAACCGATTGCAGTATTTGCTTCAAAGGGATCTGTATTAGAAGAAGTACTTGCGCAACTTATAATTAAAGTACGCATGATGTAACGCACTTTATTTGTCTCCCTCTTCCCGTCAACATACTTATGTATGCTGGCGACATTGCTATCTATTGTTCTCATCCTTCCATCGAGTACGTCTCCCAACAGCTCAGTATATCATTAAGCAATCTTAGTTCTCATCTGGAGGAGCTTGGCCTTAGGCTATCTCCTGAGAAGTCGACGGCCTCCTTTTTTGCCCTGAACTCCCTTCGGAACACAAAGTCACTTGTTAAGTCCAAGAAGATCAAAATCTCGTTGAACGGAACTCTTATCCGACTTGAGTGGTCAGTCAGGTTCCTCGGAGTTTGGCTGGACTACTCTTTAAAGTGGAAGCGACATGTGTCTGAAGTCAGGAGACGGGTGGTGTCACGCATTAACATACTTAAGGCTATTTCAGGTATCACATGGGGTGCTCATCCAAGTGTCATGTCCGCAGCCTACAAGGGCCTGGTAAGATCCGTGTTGGATTGGGGATGCCAGGTTGTGTCCCCCCTTGGTGATCGTGAAAGTCTCGTCCTCGATCGCCTGCAGTACTCGTGCGTTCGTTTGATATGTGGGTTCATGCGCACTACTCCCACCAACGTTCTCTTGGATATTACCAACATTCACCCGCTTGCGTGCAGACGTAAGTATCTGACTAGCAGGTATGTGTGTAAAACCTCGTCTCGGTCCAGCCATCCTTTGAGTCCTGTGTTCTCTGAGATAAGCACCAATTGGAGACCTATCTGCCCAGATAACTGTTTCGATCTGTTTGATCTGGTGGCCGTACTGGCCCCCCTCACGAGTCAGGTTGAAAAGTTCTCCCTTCCAGGTCCTCTCGGCTTCCCATACCTAGTTAGGTTTTTGATTTGTGAAGTCGATTCAGAGGTTGGTCTTCATCTGCGCACATCTTCCTCTCCTCAAAGTTCCTTTTCTATCTTTCTAAACAAAGAGGGTATAAGCCGTGTTTTCTTCACAGATGGATCTCTGCAACCTTCGGCAGGGGGCGCTCCACCCAGGGCCGGTTATGCGGTAGTGTCCTCTGACCCAGATCTGGTCCATTACGCGCGGGTTCACGACCTGTCATCCATATTTGACGCTGAAGCTGCCGGGGTCCTGTGCGCCCTCGAGTACGTGGAGGAGCTTGGTTTTGGTCGAGTCGCTGTTGCCACCGACTCCTTTAGTGTTATAAGGTGTTTGGAGTCGGCTGATCCTCGGGGTGTCCATCCTCCGGTCATTTATAAAATAAAGGAACTCGTCTATAGGTTACAGTCTCGCGGTGCTCATGTAAAGTTTGTGTGGGTTCCGGGCCATAAAGGAATCAGCGGTAACGAAAGAGCAGACCACTATGCCAAGGTGGCTCTTGGTCAGTCGGTCCCCGATCCGGGCGGGGGGTGTGGCGCAAGGGCTTTGTTCCCTACGCTGCGCTCTGGCTTAGTGAGTGACTCCCGTGCCCTCCTCCTTAGGGAGGCGGAACATAAAGGTAGAATGTATTTTGACGCCAAGAGAGTACCTCTGGGGAAACCCTGGTATGAGTGCTTCAAAAAACCTCTTCCAAGACCTTTAATAAATCTAATATCTCGTATCAGATCCTTCCATACCAGGGTCAACGCGCATTTGGCTGACAAGGATATTCTGGTTTCCGCCTCCTGTCAGTGTGGCTACGCTCGCCAAGATATTGACCATGTATTCTTTAACTGTCCGAAATACAAAGATGAGTCTGATAAGCTTGTAATTGACTTATATCATTGCGGATTTAGCCCGCCCGTGAAAATTGCCGATGTTGCCTTTTCCAATGACCTGCGTACTTTGCACGCTCTTTATAAATTTGTCACTAGCACAAAAATCTCCATTTAATCCTCAGTCATCCATACCACACTCAAAACCTTTTAAATCTCTTTGCTGTTCAATAAGTTCCCTACCTACCTTGTCTCCCTCGATGCTGTGTGCTCCGTTGTGTATGGAGCAAGCCTAGTCTCCAACACGCGCTGTGAACTACGAACAGTCTTTAAATCCAGTATACGAACAGCGCTCCAGAAAAATAAGTGCTCCGGAAACACAAAGTGCTCCGGAAACATAGGGTTCAATCTGTACTCAGACTGGCGTGTGGACTAGTCTTTACGGTCCAAGAGCCATACTTCCACCAAACCAAACCATTATAGACTTTCGGTCCACTGAACCATTTTTACACCAAACCAGAGATTATAGATTTTCCTAATTAATAATGGAGATTTATAATAAGGTATAAATAATGGTCTTCAAGGAAAGGCCATAATCTTCAATTAAAGAATATATATTCGTATATTCTTTGCTTCTATTTTAAGTTTATATGGCATAATACTTAATAAAATTAATGGTTTAGGTTATCAAATTAGCAAAGAAGAATTCTACACCAAAATTTTCGGAGATTGAAAAAATATTATTATTGTCAATTATGTTATGTCTTTCTCTCTTGTTATAGTACCCCTGACGAAAATGAGAAGCGTTTATTTGACGTTTGTATGAGCGTTTTGCGGAAATTTGTTGAAAGTTTTGAAACAATCAGTAGAGAATTCATAGGACGGAAATTGCAACGCTAAGCGTTTGAAAGACGTTTGTATAAAGCGTTTCTGAAAGTTTGCATAGTGTTTACGTTAAGCGTGAGACGAAACAAAATAGTTTATTAAGTTACATACATCTAAAAATTCAATAAAAAAAGTTTTCGCGACTTGCGCTTTTACACAGCTAAGAGATTTCACTTGAATTAATTTTTGGAAGCCCGGTTCAGCTCGCCAATCAACCGATAAATTCCATTTAAAAGGACCGGACCTGTAAAAATCCTAAAGATGATAGCGGGATTCGAACTTGAGACGCCTCCGTCGTATTCTCAGCACCTGCACTCAGTCCGCGATACTACTTGTTCCTTGCTAAAATGTGATTATTTTTATCTACTTATTCTCAAGGTATCTTACACAGTTCATTTATTATTTCTTTAAAATATTATTTTATTAAAAATATTGCAGTGCAATGTACCAGCAATGGGTAAAAATATTTCTCTCTCTTATTATTATTAAATATGATTTAAAGTACATTTTTACAACGCGACCAAATTTTTTGTCTCAAATAATGCTATATTTAAATCAAATATAGTCTGTTTATGTTACATTTATGTTAAAAATTGATTTTTTCATTAAATAATGCTTTATTTGATGAAAAAAACCTAATAAAACATTATTTTGTTGAAGTAAATTATTTCAAGCACTTATATTATTTATTTTGTATTATGATTTAGTATATAACGTACCAATACAAAGTTTCATTCAACAAATTTGTTGTTTGGTATAAAATTATGTTATTTGAATGCAACAAATATGAGTCAAACAAATCGGATTATTAAATTTAAAGAAACCGTTTTCTCTGTGTATAGACTTGTAAGCGTTTGTAAGTGTTCTATAATTAATATAATGTAAAGTCTATAAAGAGCCATCGCGGGATGTTGTGCGTGAAAATATGACTGTGCATATATCTATGCAACAGTACTCACATTTTACATGTGAGTTTTTTAATTGAAATTTTAATTCTATCAATTCATATAGGATGCTAGT